CATTTGGAAAAAATTTCTTTGACAGACAGTCTAAAACTCAAAAGAAAATCAGCAAATCTACCCATTTCTTAAGCTTGCATCAGCATATATTTCACTTTCCTATTTGATCATTTGCATCTCTGTTTATTATGTAATCCTCTGAATCCTTAGAAAATAGCAAGCAAGCTTTGGGGTTTGGCGTAGGTTTGGACTAGCAGTGCAGGTGTCATTGTGACGGATCCTCACATATCCTGCCTGGACACGTTTTGTGTTTCTGTTACCTCATCAAGAAGTAGAACTTCCCAGACAACCTGTAATACGACAAGGAGTACACAGTAAACTGAGCACACACTCACCAGCCAAACGTCTAATCCAGATGACACAAACAAAACTTGAAAAGTTGCTCAACGTCTGGAAAGATGGTGGAGGGCTTGTGCAACTTTATTACAGGGGGAACTTTACAGTCAACTCAAATTAAAAGCCTATCTGCACATCCATCTGAGGTTTGTGGGGGCCCTTTGCTGGCACGTGGCCCGAGCCGGGGCACGTATGTCGGGTCAGTAATGCCAACACGACAATCACCGACGAGCTGCAACCAATTTCAAGTCCTAAGAAACCAAAGAGGAAAAGTAGCAGTTACAAACTGTGCTGGTTTTCCTCGTCAGACGGGTTTCTTTCCCATGCCATCCACACAGAAAAAAAAAAAAAAAATCCTGCTCAGAATGAATCGTTGCCCAGAATCCTTCAGTGGAGTGATGAGTAGTTTATGTTTACAGATGCACAGAGTAGTAACGGCCCTCGCTGCTCTACAAGTCCCTGCAGCTCTTGTTGGAATCGGAAAGAGAGCTACGTGTAATGAAGTTCAAATGGGTTGAATTTGTGTGTTAACAAGTTATAAAGCAACTGTCAAAATGACTTAATCACATTATTCGATAATGATTTCATTATTTCCATTTTCCATCTTTATTGAGGAGTAATTTTAAACCTTGGAGCCCCTGACGATATTCATAGACATTATGCACAGAATTATAAACATGTCAGTTTGTGCTTACTTGAGTGATTCATTTATTCTTTCAGTATCTGAACATGTCTGAAGGACCACAGAGAATTTTAAACCACCGCTGATACATAGCCCGTTTCAGTCCTCAGATCTCTACATATTGTACATCTGCTGAAAACTACTGAACAATACAGCAAAACCTGAGTACAGTTGACTTGAGTGCACTGTAAAATGTGTACCTGAGCTGTAGCTTAAATAAAGTACTGTTTAGAAAAAGCATCGCTTCGTTTTCTGTGTTGGTGGTGGCAGTTTACTTTTGTGGATTCTGTCAACTTGGAATTACTTTTTGCCCCTTTAAGATGCTACTTTAATTTCAGAAAAAGTGTGAAACGTAAGTTAAATACTCCTCTCGTGCTGTTTGTCTGATGTTACAACGTCCATGTTTCTCCAAGTTTTTCTGCTGCACCCCACGTGCATTTTCGCCAAATCAAGAGAACGCTAATGCTAATGACAAAATAGTGTTTCACTTTTTATGCTCGGGTAAAGCAAATACTAAAGTGAGAAAATTAAATCCTTCAAGTTGACTTTCCTTAAAGTAAAGTTGTGCGATGCTCATTTAAAGAGGAATCAAATGATTTAAGCACATCTAACTGAAACTAATGACATCAGTATTACTTATTAACTTTATTTGGATAAACTTATTTCAGTTGTGTTTTACCAGTTAAAGCAATTAATTGAAGTTGATCCAACAATTGCCTTTTTATCAGTGTAATACTGCTGCAGTTAACCTAAATCCAACTTTGTAGAGAGTACTCATTAATTATGTTCAATCTGCTTTGATCTCATTCCAAAGCTGTAGCCTCCATTTTTGCGGTGGCAGTTGTTTTTCAAATCAGATTTCTGTATTTTTAATTTACAAACAGCTGCCATAATGATTGCAGCTTTGTTTCAACAACGTACTGACATTTGAAAACTGCTTGAAGCTAATTGTGTCTATGCACCTTTCCTTTAAAAGAGCATTGTTTTCCTCCTTCCTTCAGTATGATTACGGCATTCTGTAAAATCCAGATTTGAATTTCAAATTCTTCTCCCAACACACAAAGCCCTTAATGACCCAGCTCCATTGTATCTTTAAGACCTTATTGTACCGTATTATCCCAATAGAGCACTTCACTCTCAGAGTGCAGGCTTATTTGTACTTCCTTGAATTTCCAAAAGCGGAATGGAAGGCAGAGCATTGACCTATCAGGCTGCTCTGCCTTGGAATCAGCAGCAGTTTGGGTTTGAGAGGCAGACACCCGCTCTGCTTTTAAGGTTAAGCTTAAAACTTTCCGTTTCGATAAAGCTGATAGTTAGGGCTGATTTGAGTGACCCTGAACCATGTCTTAATTATGCTGCTATAGGCCTAAACTGCTGGGAGACCTCTAATTATAATCTGAGCACCTCTCCTCAAGGATCCTCCATTTCCCTTTCAATACATTTAAAGGCTGCCATTGAAGGTCATTTTGTGTCTACAACAGTCTGTGTTTTGTCCTCTCTGCAGGTATCTCTGACTCCAGAGCTACACGTTCCTAATGTCTGTTTGCATGGCTCACCACCCTCCTCAGGGTTTTGTTTTTCTGTTTTAAATGTTTTATTTTTAATCTAATTTCCTTTTCTCTCTAACGTTTACTTTTACCCTAACCAGTCCAGATGACCACCCTGACTGACCCGTGCCTGGTTCTGTTGGAGGTTTTTTTCTTGTTAAAGAGGATTTTCTTTTTTTCTGCCCACTGTCAGCTGCTCAAAAGGAATCATTTGAATTTGTAGGTTTCTCCCTAGAATGTAGTTTACTTTACAATGTGAAGAGCTTTGAGGTAGCATAGGATGTGAATTGGTCCCATATAAATAAAACTGAATGGAACTAAATTTGTAGACCAAATCTTGTTGTGGCAAACATTACATTCTATAAGGGGCCTTGTATGCGCTCCTGGCTTTTCAAAGTAAAAAGTTTATCCTGTTTATCCTATGGAGCAAATATTAATTGAATATTGCTAAAATTACACATTCTCCTTCCAGATAAACAGGATGGCCATGCAGGGCTGTTGTCCATTCCATACAACTTTTATGCTGCCTTCAGGTGCTGTCAGAACTTTTACATCAGATGAGTTGCTCAAGTAAAAGATGGAAGGTTGAGATGTTTTTTTTTGGCAAGATCAAACTACTAACCCAACTAAGCTATGTAACAAAGCCAGAGAATGTATATTTAAATTATTTTGTAGTCTCATAATAATCAAGCCACTTTCTGTGGCGATGCAAATTAGTAAACAGTAATTCTTATTGTGCAATTACAAGGGAACACAGTACTTATTTGTGTAATGTCAAGCAAACAACTAACTTACATTTGGAATCATTAAAATGCAAATAATAAACATTTATGGCAGCAGCTGAGTCTCCCTATGAGCCTGTGTTTGATTTCTTTGTATCTCATTATGCTAGAAAATCATCAAAATCTGGATTCTCTGCAATAGTGCCTTGCTGCATTTAAGGGGTGGATGGCTTCCAACTTGCCACAACTTGAAGTCCTGGTTATTGGTCCCGACCCCCCAGTTCTTGCAGTATCACTCTCCACCTAGGACCACTAACAATGAACATGATGCAAGAGTTTATTTTGATCACAGCCTCAACTTCAATGAGCACATTCAGTCTCTGGTTCAATCCTGTTATCTGCAAATCAGAAGGTGAAACCAACTCTCCTCAAAAACATTGCTCAACCACTCATCCACACCCTCATTTTCTCCCACCTGTGCTGCTGCAACTTCATTTTCTGAATGGTGCAGCAATTAACAGCTGATTCAAAACTCATCTGCAACACTGATCACAAACACTGGACACAGGAAGGAAACTCAGAACTCCAGTCCTGGCTGGATTATACTGGCTCAGAAACGAGGACATTTGCATAATATTTTACGTCCTTTCTATTGTTTTATTTTTGCCCTTTTTTTTTAGTTTTTTATTGTCTGTAATCATGTTTATTCATTGTTTAATTTTAATGCTACATTATTGTTTTTTATTGCTTTGTGAAGCACCCTGTAACTCCAGTTTTGAAAATGTGCTGCAGAAACAAACTGTATTAGTGTTATTTACTATTCCTCTGTGAATAATGAATGATCTCACTTGTATCCCTCGTGTTTTACTGTCTTGCAGCTATTAACTCTGAATCAGATTCAGCTTCATTGGCCAAGTATGTGTACACATACAAGGAATTTGACTCTAGTTTTGGTTATTTATTTATTTGTTTTATCCCAAAGTACGCTTCGTAAGTACACAATGCAGGCAACAGGTTAAAGAAAGGAAAATAAGTGGTTAACTATTATGCACATATATATATATGGTGATATGTGTATCAAAAGGTAACCAGATTCTCATGATAAAGGGATAAATATATAACTGTAAGTGATAAACACAGAGTTATTAACACGTTGTATAGATGAGTTAGGTGGACCAGTGCAATGGAGCAGAGAGTCATATAAAATACCATGTGAAAAGAAAGAAGTAAGATGCAATAATCCTTTCTTCACTCCACAGTGAGGAAATTTGCAGGGTTACAGCTCCAAAGAGGAATGTGCAAAAATGTAGGAAACCAAAATAAAGTAGAAATATACAGAACTACGGCTGATATTGCACAGAATTTTCCATATGTAGAAATTCTGATATTCTTTTAATGTGGAAAATTACATCACACAGGGTTAGTTCATATGTAGAAAAGCATTCATCTGCAGCACAATCAGAGATTCAAGGTCTGGAGTTGTTGAGAGTGAGTCATGCATTTGAATAAATCTTTAAAACAATGCACGTTTCCTGCACAACTGAACAAACAGCTCGTTGATATTTATGTTTCGGCGATATTTTTCTACAACAGAATTACTCTAACGCAGCGCTTTCTGCCGTGAAAGCTCGCAGCTCGGAGCCTGAGCCGAGCACGTAAACGCAGCATAGTGATAAACTGCTGTGGATGGGGTGTGACGTGGAGAGCCATCAGGGCTGCTGAAGCGGACTCGGAGCTGAACTCACTCCACATTTTACGCACGGCTGTCAACACCGAGCGCTACGGCGGAGTGCGTAAAGAAAGAAAGAAAGAAGAAGAAAAAGAAGCGCCTTTATTCATCTCAACCTCCCGAGACTTAAAAAATAAATAAAGGAGAAACCCCGGTGGAGCACACGGAGCGGACCGGGGCACATGGAAACGCTATGCGGCTGGAAAGACAGCGGTGGACTTGATCATAGTTTCACTCGAGAGGAGGCAAAGTGAGGCGAGATCAACATGCTCAGCCCGATGCTGGCCTGCGCGCTGCTTGTGCTGCTGCTCTGTCGGATCTCTGCCTGCCAGTACTCCAGCGACCAGTGCAGCTGGAAGGGCAGGTGAGGCTCTCTGACTTATTGATTTTTAATAAGATTAAAAAGTTGAATAAAACGACTGTGATGTAATGAAAGTAGGTGAGCTGCGACCTGAAATGACTGTGACCGAAACTGAGCGGTGAGCGACATGGAGATAGAAATTATAACTAAGCTGGACACAAATGTAGAATTAAAAAAACGAATGGCTTAAACTCAGAAACTAATTTATTTTCTTTTGTTTTATTCGAGAGAGAGGTTTGAGTTTCTGGTGGACCTATGAATGACTGATAAAAATGATTTGATCATAATTGTATAAAACTGTCCTTACTGCTATTTGTAATAATGCCCTTGAATTTAGTGCCATCTTATTCAAGGAACAAATGTTGTCTTTAAATATCAGCTTTGTTTGTTCAAACTTATAAATGTTAGTTATTGCTTTTGTCTCAAGATTACTAGTCTCCACCAAAACAAAAAAAATATTCAAGTGATTATACATACACAGCCCCAGCCTTAAATGCAGCCTTGCTTTGTGCTTTAAAAAAACAGAATCAACAGTTTCTTAAACCTCAGGCAGCACATATTGGAAAATTTCACCTCCCATCAAACATCTGCTGAAATCTGTTTTGCACTTGAGAGCTGCGCCTCAAATAGTGTGGTTTTGTTTTTCATCCTCCAGGAGGGGTAGGCGATACTTTGAGCTTCCAACCAATAATCTGTTGTTCATTAGGGAGACTCTTGACTAATCTCCTTTAATTGCATGCAGAAGTGATGAAGTTAGAAAAGGACTTAATTAGAGGCGTGCTGAGGAGAGCCTGGTTATGGGGCTTCGGCTGCATATGCTCAGCATGTGCCATGAGTTACTTTAGATCTCTGGCGAATTTGAATTTCAGCATCTCATTTTCAGGAAACTGGGCGTTTCTCCTCCAGAGTCAAACCACTAGCTTGGCATGCGCACGCTGGTAGACTGCTGATGGCTTCCTGCCTCTGGCTTTGCCACAGAATGACTGACAGACTGGAGTTTTCAAACCCTGACCAGGCATTAAGTTCTGGAGGGAGTCATTTGGTCATGCTGGCGCCAGAGTCCGAAGTGCTGCCCGGACAAGTCTCTTCCAGTCTCTTTGGTGGCTTGAAAGCAAGGGGAGGTTCGGTGCGTGACCTGCATTTGCACTTGCATGCAGCAGGCCCAGCTACTGTTGCCGCTGTTGTCTGCCCAGAAGCCCCTGTGTCCCTCCATTCATCCATTTCTGCCTCCAAACTCTTCCCAAAGGCAGCCTGCCAGTGGTGCGTTTTGCCAAAGCTCTGGGCGGAACAATGTGGTATGAGGAGTGTGTGTTGGAGCTGAGGTCATTTTGGCTGCTCCGGCTCGTGACTGGTCATGCAGCCAGTCTTGCGCACAGCCTTAATGCTTCACAAGGAATGTGGTCTAATGTCCTTACAGTGTGCCAGGGGTCTCCACCTTGGTCAGTTAATTCATTCTATAAATGACCAGAAAATCATTTTTAGAGTAGTGAATAAATGTCTTTATGCTGTGTGACAGAGAGAGAGAAAAAAAAAAGGTTTACCAGGAGTTTGAAAAACACAGCTTCACAATAAAAGACTGTTGAGCTTCTGTAGTCTTTTCATTGTAGAATAGTCGATGTGTGCTGACTTCTTTCCTTTTCTCGTCTTCCAGTGGTCTGACCCATGAAGGCCACACCAGGGACGTGGAGCAGGTGTACCTGCGTTGCTCCCAAGGCTCTCTGGAGTGGCTCTACCCGACAGGGGCCATCATCGTCAACCTCCGACCCAACACGGTCTCCCCCGCCGCCGCTCGGCTCTCCGTCTGCATCAAACCTTCCACAGACTCCAGTGGCACAAACCTCTACCTGGACCGTAATGGCAAGCTGCGTTTGCTGCTGCGTGAGCAGGACCAGGCTCAGGGCAAAGTGCACTGTTTCAGCATTCAAGAAGGGGCGCTTTTCATTGAGGCCGTCCCGCACATGGACATCAGCCGGCGGATTACAGCATTTCAGTATGAGCTGGTCAGCGACCGGCTTGGAGCAGAGGCACACTCACTTGGTGGTAAGATATATATTTATTATGGTGCTTCTGTATTGGATAAACCTGCAGATAACTGCTGGTATAAAGCAGACTTGCTTTTGATTGATTCCCTCTAGGACTGAGTGTGCTTTGTCTCTGTGGTGTGTGCTGTGCACTAAATGCAGCCATCTACTGGTGGAAACTTTTATTAAGTTGGACTCTAATAGTAGGAAACTCAACTTTTTCTCCAGAATACTGCTAATACTGAAGCCAAAGTCTATTTTTCTTGTCGAATTGTCTGTACATTTTGGTTTTGGAAAAATATATTTCTTGTCAAACTCTCATTTTGAGTATTAAAACATCAAAATCTGAAGCCGTTAGGTCTTTATGTAACTTTAGTTTTTGAGGATAAAACCTTGATATCGCGTCTCAGCTCACTCCACAGCTATTCAGACTGGACGTGCCTTTAGAGGACTATGCTGTAAGCTTTAATTGTTTTTCCTTTTTTTTTTTTTTTTGCTTGGCCTGTGTGTGGAGGGGCACGGCCAAACAGAGGGCCTCCGATGAAAAACAGCCGTCTATTTTCACGCTGCGTACCTGCCAAACCTGCACATTTTCAAGCTGCGCAACTGTGCAAGCGACTGTGTTTTTTTCCACCTAAAGCAAAATAGGAGCAGTATCAGGCCCACATCTGTTTTTACGGCTCTCTGGGTTCACATATCCACATCCTGCGTCATTATCTGGCACGGCAGAGAGAGAGGGAGAGGGTTAAATGTAGAGGAGCGAGCGTGAAGTTGTTTTGACCACATTAGTGTGCTCGGCTGGGCTCTGTAGTATAATCTGGTGCTGTAATGTGGCCTGAGATAGCACTGGGATGATTCACAAAGACAGTGGTCTCGTGTCATCCAAAGCCTCGACTGGTGGATTGATTGCTCCTTTGCCTCTTCTCATCTTCTTTTTTTCCGCCCCGTTTCTTCCTTCTTTCCTCTCCCTTCCTCTTCTCTCTGACCCGCTGTGCTGGGATTGAGTTGCTCACCATCAAGCTGGAATGTATCTCCAACCAGATGTTGGGAGGAACTTCTAGGAGCATATAGGCTTATTTTCCCCCCCACTCCTTTTCTCGCTGTCACTCCCTCAGCCTTCCTTTCAACTCACTTAAGTTATTCTCCTTTTTTTTTTTTTTTGCCCCTCTGCCTCACTATTTCCTACCTCTTAATTTCCTTCTTGTATATTAATCATTCTACTATTTTCCTTTTCATTCCTCTCCCCTTCATATATCTTCCATTTCTCTTCCTGGTTGTTTGAAGTGGTCTTCGTCTGTGCCGAGCTGCATTAGCAAGTTGTGCTCCATTACAGCGGAATGCATCTGGGCCCAGATGTTGCAGGGACACTGTAACGTGCCCCGCCGCCCCTCCTTCCCCACTCCTTCCATCCCTCATCCTTCTCTGCTCCTGTGAAGTGGTTCGTGATCAGAGTGGCGCTGCATGTGCACGGGCCAGAGAGAGATGCTGACTCGGCTCTCAGCCCATTCCTGTGGTTCTGTTTCATGTTTGACATGTGAGCCCTGCTCGGCTCTGCTTTGGAGGGAAGAATAAACACTCCCGGCTTTAGCCTCGGCTCGCTGCTCTGCCTAATGCTATGGCAGTGCGCGGGCTCACTTCAAAGTGAGCTTGCCCTATGCTCCGGGCTCTGGGGCGAGGGAAGGCCTCTCTGAAGTCTCCCGGCGCTCCAGCTGTTCCTACGCCGTCCAGGCTTGTGACTGTTTGACCTCTGATCTCTGCGGTGATGTAGCAGCACCTTGTGCTACACTAGCTGACCCTAAACATGCTCATCCCTCACCCCCGTACCTTCAGACAAGCCAGCTAAAAATAAGCTCAAGCTCCTAAAGATAAGAGGGCAAACCTCTCCTTTTTAACAAGTAGCGTTGCTGGACTTATCCGATGTAACGTCTGTACATTTTCCTTAACTTTATGGTCAGATTTAAGGCCAGTCATGTAAAGTAGGGTGGTTTCCAGCACACTGGATCCACCTGAGTTAACACTCTTAATCATTGTGCCTCTGACTTGCTGGACAGACAACCACTCCTGCCCCACCCTCAGCCCACTGCTGACTAGACACCCCTCCACCTGCTCCTGTGTGCCACTCTGCCACTGAGGAAAACCACAGCAGGTCTCGGGCTAATAAAGGCATTCTGGTTCAGCCAGCCGCAGGACCACCTGAATCAACTAATCATTGACTCGACTGCTCTCATTTAGGGCCCTTTCTCCTGCTATAAAACACTCTGGAGGTTGGCAGGCTGAGTTGCTGCTCTGTTACCACCAATCAAAGAAAAAAATTGGGCAGACCTGAATACTTGGTAGAGTCTATTGCCATTAATTTACTTTTCTTTAAAAAAAAAGAACTCCCACATTCTTATTATTAGAGTTTGCCCTCTCTGTCTTGTGATGTGAGATATGCATGAAATAGACACACTTGCTCCTTATCTGCCTTCTCTCTGATGTCAGTTTCCCTTCAAGGCTGTTAGTTTGATGTTATAGTTAAGTTGCAGTCCCAGCAAGAATGCTGAGTGCTACCAGAGCTCAGGTCACAGATGTAGCCTCGCCTCGTCTTACTGCTCTGCTTATCCTTTTCATCTGGTCCTTGTTTGTCATGGGGTGTCAAGAGGTTCCTGTTGTGGTGGAGGAGCTGACTGAACAGCCCCCATGACATTAAAGACACACGCACATACACTCATCAACACTTTTTAATAAGTAATACTAACAATCTGTTCTGGTGTAGCACTGCTAAATCTTGATCTGCCATTTGTAAATACATAATCATCTGTTTGGATGGAAATCACTGTGACCCTAATTGTCTGTGTGTCAGAAACACATTCTCCAACATGGCTGACCCAGCCACAGTTGTATGTTTGTGTAAGCGGTACTTAACTGGAAAGCTGTGGACCTGTCAACAAGATTTTTATCATGCTGCGTGACAAGTTGTGCCAAAGAAATCATGCGCTTTTTCTGTTTCGCTTTGCTTAACTAAATTTTTTCTCTAAACTTGTTCTCCCTCTTTTTTTAGCACCCTGTCAGCCCTGCAATGATGCTGAGATGCTTCTAGCAGTCTGCACCAGTGATTTTGGTAAGTAACAGTGCTGTTGAGAATTGTAGGCTTCTTCTTGCTGCTGTATGGGACACTGAAATGTCCAATGAAAAGACCATTCTTTATAGCATACAATATATAGTTGTTTACAGTCTCTAAATTTAGTTTTCCTGCTTGTTTTTGTTCCAGTATCACGAGGCAGTATTAAGAAGGTGGACCAGGAAGAGGAGCAAACATCAGTCACAGTTGAGATCAGTCGCCTGTACAGACAGAAAACCCAGGTTTTTGTATCTGGGGGTGTGAGGGTACGGCGCTGGACTGGACGTATCAAGATGCCTCGTCAGTGCGGGGTGAGGTCTGGTGAGGGAGAGTTCCTCTTCACTGGGACGGTGAGGTTTGGGGAGGCCTGGATGGGCTGCGCCCCACGCTACAAAGACTTCCTGCGGCTGTATCATGAGGCGCAGCAGCAGGGGAACAACCCCTGTCACATGGACGTAGACTGACCAGGGTACCGGCCCGCTTTTGAAAACAGAACAAGTCCTCACTGAGTGGGGAGGAGAGCTGAACCAAGCGTTCACGCTGAGGAGAGACTGACAGACTGGCCCGGTGGCAGAGCCTCTCTCCTCTCCTGCTGTTTCGTGACAATGGACGGAGCTCCTGAATGTTGCCGAGCAGCATACTAGTTGTACTCAAAGTTGAACGTGATGCAACGTGGAATGTGTTTGGATTGCCTTTCTCGCACACGAGGAACTGCAAGGTTTTAAATGTAGCAGACCCCATTTGTTTTTTTCTGTTTTTTTATGTGTATAAAATGTGAATGAATATTGTACATTTTGAAGCTCTCCGTGCTTTGTAAAAAGCTTGATGTACAGTTTTGAATTTATTTCTTACGACAGAAATGTATAAAGTGAAAGACTCTTATTTTGTTTAAAAAATGATTTGCAATTTAATGCCTGAACTTAGTGTGTTTTTTCAGGCTGTACAATTGTAATAAAAACAACCCAAAAAAAGCAATTGTTTTTTTTGGTCTCGAGAATAAAAGCTTTTATTCCCTTGGGCAATGCTGACGTCTGTGGTGTTTACCTGTAAAATGAATAACTGACTAAAGCTTCAGTGGATACATTTTAACTTTAGTAGACCCTTCGTATTTTGACTAGTAGGCCAATGCTTATAACAGGCAGGCTTTCTGAAAAAAAAAAATCTATTCAGGGATTAATTGATTTAATGCCTTTTATTATTATTATTATTATTAGGGTCCGAGCACTAACGGTG